CAATCTCCCCGAGGGGTTTGGAGTGTGCAGCCGGATCAATACTCACACCTTCTGGTCAAATCCGTTCGACTCTGAGCCGTCGTCTGTCGCGTCAGGAGAATGTTTTTATCTACAGTGTTAGAGCTGGGGTTGACATGGCCGTCAAGGTTCTGAAAAACAATAACACATATTTTCTCTTTATCTCTTACAGACCCTAGATCAGGGAGAACAACGTTCTGGTAAGAACCTAAACCTAAAAAAACGTATTTTTGTTATTTCATTAATCCCAAAAAATGTCATTATTTTTGGTAACCCACGGCAACATCCATCTGTTATGTAATGTATGTTATGTCTACTGTCATCATCAAATGGTTCATCCTTCTCCCTTTTTCTTCTTCCCTTTTTTTCTCACTTCATATTGAGTTTCAGTTTTTTTTTGTTTTTTTTTTACCTTACCAAACAAACGCCGATGGTGGATCTGTCTGTGTCTCTGTGTGTTTTGTCTGTGTCTCTCTGTCGTCCTCTTCTCTGGCAGCAGCTCTGAGGTCTCGGAGCCGACTGTGAGACAGATGAGAAGTAAACAAAGTATGAGACCGGAGCGAGAGCCAGTCAGACAGTCTGACCGCTGCAGTAAACACGTGGGTCATCTCCTCTTTGGACCAGACACACACACACACACACACACAGAGTTACCACCTATACAGTGAGTCAAAGACTATATTATATATATATATTTATATATCCTGCCTTCCAAGACAATTGTGACACTTTGTAACAAACTAAATTTTCTTGTGAAGGACATAGAGTTGTGTCACCAAGCAGTTAAAGTTAACAGGTGAATACACCTCTGACAATGGTTCAGAGGTGCTGGGTTCAAATCCCTGCCCTCCAAGACAACGGTGACAAAATCGCCCTTTTTTTTAACCAGTAAAACTTCCACTTGTACCACGTGTTCTGCTGGTAACGCACTTCAACAAAAGATTAGTAACTTTATATATACACACACATACATGTACATATATAATATAATAATAATATACCAGGGGTCTCCAACCTTTTTGAAACTGAGAGCTACTTCATTCCCATTTGAATATCACTGCAGGTGGAACTGATTCAAAAAGCACAGTAACAGTTTTTAAACCCTCTTGTTGACTTGTTTTATTTTGAGAACATACTCCGCGGGCACCTTAGGTAGTCCACGGGGGCTACCAGGTGACCCTAGACCAGGGGTCACCAACATGGTGACAGCTGGTCTAGACCCACAGGCCTGATCTTCATTTCCTACTCAGGATCGTTGGCTTTAAACTAAGATACATGACTCAAGGAGCTCTCTAATTTTTTGGGTTATAGTTTGATTTAAAGGAGTGAAACGTACAAGCAACGTAGACCGTCTCCTGTAGGCCGTCTCCTGTAGACCGTCTCCTGTAGACTTGTCCCTGACAGCTCCAGAGTCAGTGTCTCCTTGTCTGTTTCTCTCTCTCCACAGAATCCACTCCAGGAGTTTTGTTTTTCTTCGCAGCGAGGACCAGTTCCTTTGACAAAGAGGCAGAGAAATGTTAGCGTTGTGACAGGAGAGTGCTTTCAGACATGCCAAGATCTGGCCACAGTAATGGCTGTTTACACAATGGAATAATTACCCTGTGAATTACAGGGGGGAGAGAGAGAGGAGAGGGGGAGAAGAGTGGAGGAAAGGAAAAGAAAAAGGAGAAAAGAGGAGAGAAACTTTCTGGAACTGGCAGACACACAAAAGATGTGACAGTCGGGGAGTTGATTGGTCACCACTCGGGCCTTTGGTGAGTTCCCTCTCTCTGTTTGCTGCCTTACACTCACCATCAGGCTCACACATGCAAATACAGGCGTTTTACTGCTTTGCCTGCAGATTTAAATTCCAGGTTTCATTGAGGTAGCACGGACAAGAGGGAATAGTTTATGTTGACGTTGAAGGGACACACCCACGGAAGACTTTTAATTAAAATTTCCTCTTACTTTTCATTTTACTGCCAGTTTTTATTTGACAGCGGTTTATGTTCATCCCAAGATGAAGCTTTACGGCTGCTCAGGGAGACAAAGTTGGTGGCAAGGTTTTAATTAAAAAGTTTTTGGTAATAATTCTTCAGACTGTAAAGAAAGAGAGAAACAAAGGA